CTTGATGACTTGAACGGACAGGGCCCGCGGCGGGAATGACAACGAACCCTCTTCAAAATAAACAAGGACTGGGGGAGAAGGAGGAGGGTGAGGAGGTAGGTAGGTAGGTAGGACAGCCCCGAAGGGAAGAGTATAGCGAGACTACGCGGCCGCAGCGCGGCCGCGCCCGCGGGGACCTGGTCACCACCTGAGGTGCCGGGTCCCCGACCGTGTCGTCGGACTTAAACTTGCCGAAGACGAACACCATGGCAGGGAAAGGGGGAAGGGGCAGGCGGCCTCCCCCCTCCGCGGGGGGCAAGGCATCATCGCCGACCCTTCCGCTGCCTCCCCTCCCCTGCGCCGGGCCAGCGGCCGTGCGCCGACTGCTCCTCGAGTTCCTGCTCTTCGAGCTCCGCCGAGCGCGCTTTCAGCCGCCCGAGCTCCTGCACGGCCGCAGTGCGTGCCGCATCATCGGCTCCGCCAGCCGTAGCCGCCGCAACAGCGGCGTTAGCGGCCGCCACGAGCCCCGCAGGAGCCCCCCCAGCATCTGCGGGCGGCGCAGCCACCATGACGGCGACCTCCGCGGACGGCGGGGCGAGGCCCGCACCAACTGTTCCAGTCGCCGCCAGCGCCAGCGCGGCACCAGCCGCCGCAAGCGCTGCCGCCGCTGCACCGCCGCAATCGCCGCGTTCAGTTCCAGCCTCCGCAGGCGGCACGCCGCCTACTCCAGCAGGGCCTCCCGCAACAACACGGGCCCCAGCAGGACACGGCCTGCGCCTCCTCGGCGCGGCCTTGTCAGCCCAGGCGTCGTCGAACCCGACGTCGTCGTCGCAGCCTCCGTCGACGTCCATGTTGTGGCTGCCGACGGCAGCGGGGGGCGCAGCTGGCGGCAGGACGCCCGCCACCGCCGCATCCTCCATCGCCGCAGCTTCCCCTCGCTCCACTGCGCGCTGCCCTGCACGCCTCTGACGGCGCCTGCGCCGCCGCTCACGCAGCGCCCCCGAGGAAACGCGAGGAGCAGCGTCGGCAAGCACCCCAGGGCGCACCCCGTCGCCCGCATCGGCAGGCTCCCGCGGAGTCGGCCGCGCCGCGAAGGCGGCGGCCGACACGGCAGAACGTGCCACAGCGGCGAGAGTGCGGAGCGGCGCGCCGCCGTCCACGGCTCCTCGGATCGCCGCAGCCACGAGGGCCGCCAGGTCAACAGGTGCCGCGCGAGCCCCTCTAGGCAGCGTCATCCCGCGGTCCCGCAAGGAGAGGTAGGAGACGCGGCCGTGTGATCGCTTGAGCCCAAATGGCTTGAGCCAAAATGGCTACGGAAGAGGAGGGTGAGGAGGAGGACGAGGAGAACGAGGAGGAGAAGGAGGAGGAGGAGGATGACGAGGAGGAGCAATCTCTTTTCAAAATGGACAAGGGCTGCTGTTGGTCCTCGTGCCCAGCCTTTCCGTGGCGATATCTTCGGGGCGGACGGTCGGGCAGGGGCAGCAGCAGAGGAGCAGGAGGAGGAGCAGGAGGAGGAGCAGGAGCAGGAGGAGCAGGAGGAGGAGGAGGAGGACGAGCAGCAAGAGGAGCGGCCACGCGACGAGAGACACGTCCCTCGGCGTGGCCGAAGCCAACTGCACCACGCAGCAGATCATTCCGTTCGCGCCCCCACCCCACCCAGCACTTCCACTTCCCCGCTGCCCCTCGGCGGCTCAAAGATGGGATCCTGAGGGGTCGGCCCCCAAGGACTCGAGTAGGGGATCGACTATAGAATTGATATGCCCCAACATCGACTTTCTCGTCGAACCCATGCGACACAACAACGTAGAATCGTCCGTAGATCCGAGTGAGGGGGCCGAACGGTCATTCATTGTCCCTGGGTGTGTGGCTGAATGAGGAGTTCGTGGTGAGAATTCTGCTTATTGCGTTGTGGTTGTTGTTGTTATTGCTGTTGCTGTTGTTGCTGGTGTTGTGGTTGTGGTTGTTGTTATTGCTATTGTTGTTGTTATTGTTATTGTTATTGTTGTTGTTGTTGTTGTCGTTGTCGTTGTCGTTGTTGTTGTTGTTGCTGTTGCTGCTGCTGTTGCTGTTGCTGTTGTTGTTATTGTTGTTGTTGTTGTTGTTGCTGTTGTTGTTGTTGTTGTTGTTGTTGTTGTTGTTGTTTGTTGTCGTCGTCCCACCCGCGACCCACCCCGCGACCCCACCCGCGACACACCCCGCGACCCACCTGCGACCCAACCCGAGACCCAACCCCACCCCGCGACCCACCCACGACACACCCCGCGACCCATCCGCGACCCATCCCGCGACCCATCCGCGACCCATCAGCGACCCACCCGCGACCCATCCCGCGACCCATCCGCGACCCACCCCGCGACCCACCGTCAAGGAAGGAAAAACCATCCAGACCCGACAATTGACGTTTACTAAAACGGCCCTGGGCGTTGACTAAGCAGCCCTGCCCTGTTCGATTCATTCCTTGTGTGCGTTTACTAAAAAAAAACGGCTTCGCTTGCCCGGGTGATTCTAATGAGGTGCATTTTCTGCCCTCTACACCCGCGACCCACCCGCGACCCACCCCGCGACCCACCCGCGACCCATTTGCGTACCACCCACGACCTACCCACATTTGTTTAACGACAAAGTCGGCGCCTGCGGCGGGCTCGTTGTATAATTTGTGAAACTTTGGCGCCTGCGGGCCTGCGGCGGGCTTTTCCAGAGTCTCGCAAACTGCCGACGTCCCCACCGCCCCCTCACTCTCATCCGCATCTGCGGGGTGCTACGTGTACGGAGCATTAAAGTCGAGGGACAACCATTTTTTGGGTAGCAGTCGATCCCCTACTCAGCTTGGGATCCCATGCCTATCCTCATGGCCCTCTCTGCTGCCCGCTTCTCCCCATTCTGACGCTCATGCTGTGCTGCTGCTGACAAGCTCGTTTTCCTCCTCATGCTGGTGCGTAGTGTTTTTCGATCCTATTTTGCATGCGTGTTCCTGCTAGGCTGCTTAGCCTGCTGCAAAGAACCAAACCCAACCCAACCCATAATTTCGGGTTGGGGGGGGGGGTACGAGTTCCACATGTGTGTTTTCAATGTTCCCCGACGCCCCCCCTCCCACTGGAAATGTGGCGCAAATTGAGGCCCATGGGTTAGGCTGGGGTGGATTGGGGGGTGGTGACGAGCCACTCCGGACGATCCATTCGAACCATCACAAAACACTGCAGGTTCGGCGCGTCTCCTGTCACCATGGGGAGTTCCGTCGACCACGCTGCAAAATGCGTGGCAAACATCCGGCGGGGCGCACATCCCGCGCGCGTGGGCGAAACGCCGCCCTCGGCTCAGCTCCGCGCTCGGCTCTGACGGGGGCCTGGGCTTCCGCCCGGGAGCGGCGCCGACGCTTCGCTCGCCAGGGGCCGTGCGGGGCGCGGCTCCGCGCGCGAGCGGGCGAGCTGCCGCTCTCGATCAAAGCATGTGCAGATGTTCTCTTGGAGTGGCGCTCGCGCGGGGGCGCGGCGCATGCCTCGGTCGCCGAGTCGTGAGGAAGCGGCAGCGGGGCCGTGCGCGAGTGGGCGAAAGCTGAAGTGCTGTTCTCTGCGCGGCGCGCGCCTCGCCCTCGCCGCGCTCGTCGGGCTCCGGGGACCTCCGAACTGACCCAGGGCGGAACAGTCAGTCCCTGGGAAGCGGTACAGAGGTCCAGGGACCACGCGTTGAAAACCTCAAGGCGTCGGAGGTGTGCGTCTTCACCCTCCTCCACGGGCGAAGAGCGTGATGCAGAGCTGAGGGAAGAGCAGAGATGGGTGTCTTCCCAAGCCCCGGGCGCCGCGCGGCCCTCGGAGGCGTAGACGCTTCAGGCCGGCTCGTCATGCCGAGCCACCTCTTGCCGGTCCCAGGGCCTCCCCTGGAAACCAAACGCTCCCGCTCGCGTTTTTGCTGTTGGCTTGCTCGCCCCAGCGGGGCACATCTGGGCCGCCCCCCCTCCTTCGGCGGCCTGGGCGGCGGCATCGTCGTCGTCGTCGTCGTCGTTGTCGTCGTCGTCGTCGTCGTCGTCGTCGTCGTCGTCGTCAGCGCCCGCCCCGCAGGGCCTGGAGCTCTTGTACAGGTTGAAGATGCTGGCGCCGTGGTCGCCCAAGCTGCCCGGGGCCCCGAACTCGGTATCTGGGGCCGCGCGCAGGGCGGCCTCCAGGGGCTTGCGCTGGCCGTCGCCGCCCCTCCTGCGCAAGGGGGGGTTGCTCTCTTCGGTGCCTGCTCCCGGGGTTGAGGCTGCGGACTCGTCTGTGTGAAGCACTGGGGCCCTCGCGGACACTCCTCCTGGGCCTTCTCCGCGGGGAGGGTGCGGGGGAACTCGAGCAGCCGAAGAGGGACAGGGAGGAACGACCGACCGACGGCGCCACCCCCCCCTTCTCTCCCTCTTGCCCCCCTCTCCGCCTCCTCCTCGCCCCCCTCCTTTCCTTCCTTCCCCCCCGGACTTCCCAGCGCCAGGAGCAGAAACCGAGGCGGGGGTCACTGGCCGCGCTCAGCCATCTGGAGGCCGCGTTCGGGCTCCACGGCCATCGCCAAAGAAACGTGGGGAAGACAAATCCAGGGGAGGGGTCGAGAGGTCCCCAGACCCACTCTGTCGTGGTCTCTTTCGCCGCGCGGAACCTGGAAGCCTGGACCCCTTCGGGACGGAACCGTCGTCCTTCGGACGCCGACGATGGCCACAACAGCCGGCCGTCGTCACTTTCCGCGGCGCGACCCCGCCGACCCCCAGGACCCCAGCCGTCTGGAGGGTCGCGCAGCGGTCTGGGTGGGGCGGCGGCGAGGAGGAGGAGAATGAGTAGGAGGAGGAGGAGGAGTAAAAGGGAGGATGAGGATGAGGATGAGGAGGAGGAAGAATAATATGGGGAATGGATCGAGAGGCGCGCGTGGAAAACGCCCACCAGTACACACTGCTTGGTCCGACGCGTCCGCGATTACCAGGCTGACGGTAGACAATAGGCGGGACATGCAATGGCTGAATTCCCTCGCTTGTCAGGCAATACGGGCATACGGACACACACACACATTGAAACAATAACGCACACGCACAGACACAAGCAGACAACACACACACAGACAAACAGACACGCACACGCACACGCACACACGCACACACGCACACACGCACACACGCACACACGCACACACGCACACACGCGCACACGCACACGCACACGCCCACGCACACCACGCACACCACGCACACCACGCACACCACGCACACCACGCACACCACGCACACCACGCACACCACGCACACCACGCCCACACGCCCACACGCTCACAGGCACACACGCACACACGCACACACGCACACACGCACACACGCACACGCACACGCACACACACGCACACCACACGCACACCACACGCACACCACACGCACACCACACGCACACACACCACACACCACACGCACACACACACACACACCACACGCACACCACACGCACGCACACCACACGCACACCACACGCACACCACACGCACACCACACGCACACCACACGCACACCACACGCACACACGCACACCACACGCACACACGCACACACGCACACACGCGCACGCGCACGCGCGCACGCACACACACACGCACACGCACACACCCACACACGCACACGCACACGCACACGCGCACGCGCACACACACATTCGCACAAGCACACGCACACGCACACGCACACGCACACGCGCACGCGCACGCGTATCCACACACTGCACAACACAACATAACACAACGCAACACAACACAACACAGCACAACACAACACATCGCATCGCACCACACCACACCACACCACACCACACCACAACACAACACAACACAACACAGCACACACACACACGCACGCACACCGCACGCACACACACACACGTCCACACACGCACACACACACACGCACACACACACACACACACACACGCACACACACGCACATACACGCTTTGATTGAGTCGGTGGCGCAGGCGAGCCTTAGGCGCGGTCGATAGGAGGAGGTGCCAATACACACACTCAGACAAACACGCACACTCACACAAATGCGCACACCGACTCACACACACACAGACACACGCACACTGACAAAAACACACACACACGCACACACACGCACACACACACACACACGCACACAGACAAACACACACGCACACACACACGCACACGCACACGCACACACACACACACACACACGCACACACAACACATACACACATCACACACAAACACACACGCACACTTTTGGTAGCTCGCAGCCAGGGGAACAAGCCGTCCAGGCAAAACATAAAAACTGATATTGCGAGAGGGCGGCTTGCCCCTCGCGGGGCAGTGGCCGGGTGGCAGTGGCCAGGGACGCAATGAAATAAGCAGAGGCGCCATGAAATCTGGAGGGATATCGTGGCCCCCGCCATGATATTCCCCCACCCCCCTGGTCCTCACCCCCCTCTTGTCGGGAGCGGCCAAGAGGGGGGGTGTCCAAGAGTGGGGGGTGCAAATCTTGACCGGCGGCATGTGCGCGGCCCAGCGGGGGGGGCAAGGACGTAATGAAATAAGAAGAGGCGCCATGAAATCCGGGGAAATATCATGGCCCCCGCCATGATATCCACCCCTTCCAGTCATCCCCCCCCCCTCTTTTCCGCCCCCGATCTTGGCCGCCCCCGAAGGCGAGCTGGCCCCAGGGAGCGGGCCGGAACTCCCGGTGGCCAGAGGCAGTCGGCGGCGAGCTCCCCGGGGGGAGAGGTGCGAGGGGGCAGGCCCGGCGACGCGCAAGAAGAGCGACCCCAGGCTTAGGTCGGGCGTGCCGTCCTCGCATTGGGGGATCTTGGACAACAAAATCAAACATATTCAAAGAATGCCCCACAATAGTCAACAAAATAACAGAAACATCGTCCCCAGACTATTTCTGGACAATTTTTCAAGATTCCTCCTGTAGAGGGACGTGCCCGACTTAACCCTGGGTAAGAGTGTGACCTTTGGTGCGCGGCTTCAGGGGGGGCCGCGGGGGGGGCCAAGCCCAAGCGCGCAGGACGCTGCTATCGCACTGCGTTCGGCGATCGAGGGGCCCCAGTGGCCCGCACCACAGGTCACTCCGGCGGAGGGCCCCCCTTACGTGTAATTAGTCGAAGGGCCTTCCGAGAAGGCGGCGGGGCTTCTCAGAAGCTCCCCGGCCTTCCGGCACGTTTTTCCTGCCTTCGGGGAGGGGTTCGACCTCTGCTCAGTCGGCCCGAGGCCTTCCGAGGCCCCACCTCGTCCCCCCTTGGGCTCGCCGCCGCGTCAACGCGTCGGGGGTGTGGGACCCACGCGGCGTCAGAGAACTGCCACGCCTGGCGCTCCTTCTTCTTCCCGGCCGGGCCGGGAGGGCGCGGGCACCCCTCCCAGGTCTGGGATTGGCGTGTGACTGCGTCTGGAAAGCCAAAGGGAAGCCGAGGCGGCCAGTGCTGCCTGGTGTTGGGCCTCTGGAGCCCGGCTCGGCGACCTGGGACGAGTGGCTGCCGAATGGCAGCTCGGCGCGAAAACGCCAGCCCCTGGAGGTGAAGAGTCGAAGCGTCCTGGAGCCCATGCCTCGAACAAACCTAGCACGTCTCGAACAATCAGAAGCCACCCGGATGTCAGAGTTCCTCCTCCTCCTGCCCTCTCCTCTCCGTCCTCCAGCCCTGACATCCGAAGTCGCGAGAAAGAAAACATGCACCAATCATAATTACAACAAAAGCCACAGGCCCCATCGTTCCGCAACATTTCTCGAGTCAAGTCGATCCGAGAGGGCTCTTGGGTACGAAACCGGCGAGAACCCCCAGTTCTGAGGCTGCTACCACACGAACGCGGGCCTGGGTGGTCACTTGGGGGAATTCGAACTACATCCGCCACGTGGACCGTTCGCATGACCGCCCGCGCAGAGGAGAACTCGCGTCTGCCCCATTCGGCTCCTGCTGCCCCACACGCCCACCGCGAGCTTCTCGCGGCCCTTTATCCCGACTAAAGTGTCGTCGGCATCGAAGGATCCAGCCGTGTTGTCGAAGTAGGGCCAACCGACAAAGGGGTCGCTGCAGATCTCGCTCTTGCAGTCCTTGCCGACAAAGGTAGCGTTGGAAAACAGCCTGGGCTGCTCGGAGCCCCACTCGCGGCCCTTCCACCAATTCAGCACCACGAAGTTGGAGTGACCCGTGGCAGCGGAGTTCTTGTAGGCCTCAGAGCGCGCCGCGAAATGCATCACCTTGGGCTGACACACCTTGTCCTTGTTGTCGAAATTCTGATTCCACTGCGGCAAGAAAGGTGGCAATACGAAAAGGTCTGCCTTTTCTGGGTCCTGCACCGCGCACCGGTGCTTCGGAAGATTGCGCGCCACGAAGATGGGACCAGTGTGATGGCTCTCCATGCCATCTTGGGCCCACTTGTTAAACTCCTCATCCGACAAGTACTTGCCGTAGCAATCCGCAATCTCGGGGTCCGTGACGTCGAACATGTAGAATTTGGCCGGACATCCGTCCGTTCCAGACCTGGAGGCTGCCCGGAATGGGGCCAGAGCAGATGGGGTCGGTCGGAGGGTCGCACCGCCTCGCAAATGCATCGGCCATGCGACGACTACGACGACGTTGGGGGAACAATTCTGACTCCAACTCTCGCCGTACCGCCCACGCAGTGGCGATGCGGCGCGATCCTCCGTCCCCTTCTGCGCGAAGGTCCCTGGAGGCCTTCGGATGGTCAATTATCCTGGCGAAGGGCCCAACCATACGCAATTCCGAATGCCTCCGTTGTAAGTATCGTCGTTGGTGGAACACCCGATGGGGCCACGAAGCGTGTGAGAGGTGCGCCAAATGGAGGTGGAACTGCATGCGGACCCTGCCACTGGGGCCTTCGGTGGAGCACCCTGTGGGGCCGCGAAACGTGTGAGGGGTGCGCCGAAATGGAGGTGGAACTGCATGCGGACCCTGCCATTGGCGCCCTCGGTGGAGCTCCCTATGGGGCCGCGAAACGTGTGAGGGGTGCGCCGAAATGGAGGTGGAACTGCATGCGGACCCTGCCACTTGGGCCTTAGGCGGAGCTCTCTATGGGGCCACGAAACGTGTGAGGGGTGTGCCGAAATGGAGGTGGAACTGCATGCGGACCGTGCCACTTGGGCCTTAGGCGGGGCTCCCTATGACGCCACGAAACGTGTGAGGGGTGCGCCGAAATGGAAGTGGAACTGCATGCGGACCCTGCCACTTAGGCCTTAGGCGGAGCTCCCTATGGGGCCACGAAACGTGTGAGGGGTGCGCCGAAATGGAGGTGGAACTGCATGCGGACCCTGCCACTGGGGCCTCAGGTGGAGCTCCCTATGGGGCCACGAAGCGTGTGAGGGGTGCGCCGAAATGGAGGTGGAACCGCATGCGGACCCTGACACTTGGGCCTTCGGTGGAGCTCCCTATGGGGCCACGAAACGTGTGAGGGGTGCGCCGAAATGGAGGTGGAACCGCATGCGGACCCTGACACTTGGGCCTTCGGTGGAGCTCCCTATGGGGCCACGAAACGTGTGAGGGGTGCGCCGAAATGGATGGAACCGCATGCGGACCCTGACACTTGGGCCTTCGGTGGAGCTCCCTATGGGGCCACGAAACGTGTGAGGGGTGCGCCGAAATGGAGGTGGAACCGCATGCGGACCCTGACACTTGGGCCTTCGGTGGAGCTCCCTATGGGGCCACGAAACGTGTGAGGGGTGCGCCGAAATGGAGGTGGAACCGCATGCGGACCCTGACACTTGGGCCTTCGGTGGAGCTCCCTATGGGGCCACGAAACGTGTGAGGGGTGCGCCGAAATGGAGGTGGAACCGCATGCGGACCCTGACACTTGGGCCTTCGGTGGAGCTCCCTATGGGGCCACGAAACGTGTGAGGGGTGCGCCGAAATGGAGGTGGAACCGCATGCGGACCCTGACACTTGGGCCTTCGGTGGAGCTCCCTATGGGGCCACGAAACGTGTGAGGGGTGCGCCGAAATGGAGGTGGAACCGCATGCGGACCTTGCCACTGGGGCCTTCGGTGGAGCTCACTATGGGTCCACGAAACGTGTGGCCATGATGGAGACGGCGATGATGATGACGACGATGGTGATAAGAACGATGATGATGATGATGCTGATGATGACGGTGACGATGACGATGATGATGATGCTGATGATGAGAGGAGGAGGAGGAGGAGGAGGAGGAGGAGGAGGAGGGGGAAGAGGAGGAGAGGAGAGGACGCGGGCACCGTCTCTTCAAAACGAGGACCCAACACCACAGGATGGTTGGGAAAAAACGTTTCCGCCATCGGGGACGCCCGTGCAAAAGCGGCCGGAAGGTTGATACCCTTCCGTGCCGCCGTAAAGGTGCAAACTTTCCAGCCGCCCTGGGGCAGATGTCGGACGAGTTTACGTTCTCCCATTGTTCTGGCGGCTCGAAGATGGAGCACTGAAGGATCGGGCCCTAAAGATAGTAAGAGATCCCAGGTTTAGTTTACGGCCCCATCCCTCAAGGCCCCATCGTTGCACCGCCGATCTTCCGTCCACCGCAAAGCGGCCAACTTGGGCGGCCCGGAGGACCGTGCACTCGGCAGGAGGACGTCGTCGAGGCAGGAGCGCCTGTCTGGGGGGCGTCGCGGGGGCCACGTCCTGGCCATCGCTCGGACGTTCAATTCCTGTGTTTTGTTCGGTTTCGTGCGTGGTTTTTTCGCCAAATGATCAAGGATGCTCCTCGATGGTCCTCGCCGAGGAAAAAAACGCACACGTCCGAGCGATGCCAAGCGGCCCATCGCCGCCGCGGCCGCCCGCGCCCGCGTCGGTCGCCGCCGACGCCCCCACCGCCGCCGAAGCCGCCAACCGTTGCCGTCGGCGTCGGCGTCTGCGGGTCTCCGGCAACCATCATCTGTGGAATCCCGGCGCTTTTCCTCGGCTTCGGCCTGTGGGGCCCGTGACAGGGTCCCAGGACCGCACTCGCCATCGCTCGGACGTCCTTTCCCTGTGTTTTTTTTCGGTTTCGTGCGTGGCTTTTTCGCCAAATGATCGAGGATGCTCCTCGATGGTCCTCGCCGAAGAAAAAACGCACACGTCCGAGCGATGCCAGGTGACCTGGCACAAACTTCACCGCGCGGAAGACTGCAGAACATCATCTCTTCCGCCCACCGGGGCGTCCACCCTCAAATGCTTTTGAAACCGCTGGGGCCGCTTTTCCTGTGCGGCTCGAGATCGACGTTTTGCTTCCGTTGGGGTAGCAACTTTCAAGTCGTCTGGTTGACTTTGAACCTGCGTTCTCTTTCAATGTTGAATTCAATTGGTTGGTTCATCATCGTTGATCGTTTCTTGCCGTTTCCAAGTCCAGACCCAACCTGTTCCTTGCCTCGCCTTTTGTATTCCGGGGTCAATGCCGTTTATGGCTCGTGCGCGAAATTCCCCCCCCCCCCCCCCCGTTTTGGGCTTCTGCCATATTTCCGTTTTGTTCGGCCGCAGCCAGGACAGTGAAACGAATGGAAGAAAGCGCCCAGCGCTCTTAAGAACAGCTAGAAACGCCTGCAAAAGGCGGCTGGAAAATTTATACCCGAGGGTCTAACTTTCTAACCGTCCTGGGACAAACGCCCCCGACGGCAGACGAAATGATCATATACCGCTCCTCGCTTGCTGAGAAGAAGACCCCCCGGGAAGGCGCGGGGACCTCCTGAGGTTGCGCACTGAATGTGAGGGTTTTCTTATTCGGCGCTTCGACATTGGGCGGCAGGGGGGAGGAGGGGCGGGGGGTCTGGCTCTGGACCTCTGCTTAATGCGACTGCTTGCAACAGTGCGTCCTGTGGGGGAGACCCCACCTGCTTGAAATAGGCGCCCCAAACAGCCACGATCTACTCCACGGGGAGGGGGGATGCGAGGGCCCGCGCCGATCGGCAGAACAACGAGTAAGAGAACGACGTCAGCCAAAAACACCGCGGGAGGATGTCTGAGCCAGCGTCGTCGCCACCGCCCGCCGCCGCCCGCCATCGCCGCCGCAGGAGGAGGAGGAGGAAGAGGAGGAGGAGGAGGAGGAGGAGGAGGAGGAGGAGGAGGAGGAGGAGGAGGATGAGCATCGCCACCGTCGACGCCGAGGCAGGCAGAGCGACAGAGCAAGGAGGGAGCAGCAGCGACAGAGCGAGAAGGGGGGGAGAGGTGGAGCGGAGGCCCACAGAGAAGGAGGAGGGGGAGGGGGAGGAGGGGGACCCATACATCTGGCGTCCTGAACTTCTCAAGACGGCCCCCCCCCAAAGTCTCGACCTCTTGCCGAGGGCCAGTGTCTCATCCACGGCCATTTTTGGGACGGCCCTGAGGCTCGGCGATGGCGATGGTCACCGGGGGCCAAGCACCATCAAACACCTCCCGCCGTCTCCTCTGCTCACGACGCGAGCGCGTCTGGGGAGGAGGCGGCGGATGGGGGAGGACGCGGAGCGGAGCGCCCGTCGAACCGCGGCTCGCCCGTGGCGTTCGCGGCGGGGGCGGTCTCCAGCTGGAGCGCAGCAGCGCCGGCGGCGCCCGCGCATGCCGCGAGCCAGCGCGGCATGGCGAGGCTGCGGATGGTCTGCGAAAAACCGGGAAAGTGAGGGGGCCGTGGTCGCCCCGGCCTGCGCGAGGGCCACGGCAGTGGGCCCGAGAAGCGGCAAGACCGTTTTGTAGTTCCCGGGGTTCCGTTTTTGTGCTGTTTCGTTGGTCGGGTTCCAGCGCCGTTCTGTGCTTCAGTGCTGATTTTCATGCCGTGTCCCGTTCTGGCTCCAGGTCCGCATCTGGCGCAACGCTCAGTTCTGCTTCGGCGAACCGTTCTGCTGATTTTAAGCTTCATCATCCAGAGCTAGATTTGAGGAGAGGGTAACAAGAATCGGCCCTGCCATTCCAAAGCATGGGACCTCCACAGGGTTTTCGGCCCAGCCCTCCAAAACAATGACAAATCAATTATCCCAGTGCGACCCTACCCAGGAGTTGGAGCATCTAGGAAAGCAACATCTACATCTACACCGACAGCTACATTAACATCTACACCTGCATCTACATCTACATCCACATCAACAGCGAGACTCACATCTACATCTACATCTACACCTACCTAGGAGTTGGAGCCCCCAGGAGAGCAATATATCAGTAGCTCTCCTCGGGGCTCCAACATCGACATCTCTCCTTTGCTATGCTATGCTGCGCTATGCTTTGCGGTGCTTTGCTATGCTGCGCTATGCTACGCTGTGTTATGCTAGGCTATGATGTGCTATGCTATGCTGCGCTATGTTATGCTATGCTATGCTGCGCTATGCTATGATATACTATGCTATGACATGTTATGCTGCGCTATGCTATGCTATGCTATGTTACGCTATGCTGCGCTATGCTGTGCTATGCTATGACGCGCTATGCTATGCTATACTATGCTATGCTGCGCTATGTTATGCTATGCTACGATATGCTATACCATGTTATGTTGCGCTATGCTATGCAATGTTATGATGCGCTGTGCTATGCTAAACTATGCTATGTTATGCTGTGATATGCTATGCTGCGCTATGCTATGATATTACATGCTATGCTATGCAGCGCTATGCTATGCTGCGCTATGTTATGCTATGCTATGCTATGCTATGCCAATGCTGCGCTGCGCTAAGCTGAGCAAAGCTAAGCTAGGCTAGGCTAGGCTAGGCTAGGCTAAGCTAAGCTAAGCTAGGCTAGGCTAGGCTAGGCTAGGCTAGGCTAAGCTAAGCTAAATTAAGCTAGGCTAAGCTAAGATGAGATCAGCAAAGCTAAGCTAAGGGGACGTAACTGGGGGAACCGCGGGGCGGATACAGGGGGAACCGCCCGGGGCGGTTTCCACTGCCCGGCCCTTTAAGAAAGAGAGCAAGAACCCTTCTAGGCAGAACCTAGGTAGGGAATGATGTTTCGACGATTTCGGCATTTGGGGCCCTCGCGAGGCGCTTGGGCCGTCAAACAACGATTCGCGATGAGAAACTGACCCTGAGGAAAGAATAGGGACTTCCAAAGTGCCCGTGTAGAACAAATCAAGACATCGCATCTGTGGGTTTGAGCATCCGAGGAACTCCACAAAGGTCTCCGAGGACCTCTGTTGAGCTCCCGAGACCGTCAGGTGGAAGTCCCAAGAGCCCCAGTCGTGGCCGGGCCCGCGAGAGCGACCCAAATGAACTAGCACGGCCCTGCTCGGGCTGGCTTGATACAACCTGGCCTCCTCCCTCCCTCCCCTCCACCTTCTTTTGCTCCTGCTCCTGCTCAGCCTCCTCCTGCTGCTCCTGCCCTGCTCCTGCCCTCCCTCCTGTCCTGCCTCCCTCCTCCCTCCTCTCTCTAGACTTTTTCCTCTATCTCTCTCTGCCCCTCCGCCTGTATCCCCGACCCTCCCTCTGGGCCCCATTCAACCCTCATGCTCCCTCCTCCTCCTCGTTCCTCCTCATACGGCCCCCTCCTGGTCCCCCGTCTGCTGCTCCAACTTCCGCCTCCTCCTTTGGAAGAACATCCAAAGGCGCAGGCATAACCTGTCGAACATCCGTGTGGACGTCTCCGACGGGTGCTGAAGCCGGAGACGCCGCCAGGGGGTCCCCCTGCTGCCGCTCGCCCCCCCGCCGCTGCCGCTGCCCCCCCCCACGCCGGTCCTCGGGGGGCCCGGGCGGCCACGGGGGCTGGGAGCAGAGGCGCAACACGGCACAGGTTACCAGCCCGGAACATATCCCTATCCCTATGCTGGGCACCCCCTCATCACGATGCCACTCTCAGGGATTCCCTTATTTTTTGAGGGCGGATCCCTAAGATTGTCATCGCCTTTTGGCGTGTCAATCTTAGGGATAGGGACACGCTCGAGGCTGATACACAGGAGCACGACCGATCGGAGGCGCCCGCACGGGCCTCTCGCATCGGCGCTGCACCGCCCTGCCCTCGCGCGCGCCTCCGGCGCGCCGCCCCTCGCGCGCGCGCGCGAGGGAGAGGGGGGGGGTCGCAGGCCGATGCAGGAGAGCCGCGCGGGCCTCCTAGAGCTGGTGGCGCCCGTGCGCCGTGCGTCCTCCCTCCCCTGACCTTCCAAGAGGGCTAAAACATAGCACGCGACTTAAAAACCTATCCCGAAGCTATTCTACGTCTTGGTTTTAGGCTGTTTCGCTCAGTGTTTTAGGTTTTTAGGCCCCCAGTGCTAAAAAATAGCTCTCTGGAAGGTCAGGGTCGACTGGAGGGTCCGAGTTCGGTTATGGAGGCCCGCGGCGCTCGGGCCCTCGGGAACCTGAGCCGTCGGGGGCTGCGGCGCGTGGCGCGGGGGCGGAGGGGAGGAGGGAGGCGGGGTCGAGGGCGACGGGCACGGGCTGGCCATCGCTCGGGCGTCCAACTTCCCCGTGCACTTTTGTCGACCTCGTGCATGCACGTGGTGCACGATGGTCCAGGATGCTCCTCGCTGCTCCTCGCCGATAATAAAGGGGGCAAACAGACGTGCCTCGCTTTTGACCACCCTCGCTTCCAAGAAGTACCAAGCGATGCCACACTACGGCCTGCACTGGTTAGGCCGCTTGACGAGGAGGCGCGTGCTATGACTTGGTTATGCCTGGAAGCGAGAGCGGGGTAGGTGATTCACGCTCTGAGATAAACCGTGCACACGTCCGAGCGATGCCAAGCAGTGGTGCCGAGGCGTCGGAGGCGAGGGAGGAGGCGGAGGGAGGGGGGCCGCAGCGGCACGGCGGTGGTCGGGGGCTCGGCTGCACGATCGCAGGGGGCTCTCGCCCGCGAGCCTGGGCCCGGGGACGGCTGGGGCGGAGCAGCAGGATTCGGCGGTGGACAGACCTCCCTTTCGTGAACCTCCCACGGGGCTATGCCCTTAGGAGGCGTATCCTACGAAGCCGGCGATAGCTGCTTACAGCGGAGGCCAGTCCACAAGAGACCTTGGGCAAGAAACCCAACCCTGAGACCCCAGGACGTCGATCGCTTTCGGGTGTGGGAACGTCACGCTTTCCATAGCGAAGCCATCGAAACCAGAGAAACCCAGGGCACCCTGGAGGCAAGCAGGGTGTTTCTTGGCATGGGTCCCCACTGTGTAAACTCGGCGGTGGACAAACCTCCCTTCAGTACACCTCCCCTTGGTGAAAACGGCCCGGGACCGACACCGACGGACCCGGACCCACAAACATGACGGCCGCGACACCCCCTCGCGAACCGAAAACGACCAGTTCCTGAATCGACGCGTCAAGGCAGGAGGTCTATCAACCTCCGAAAGATGAGGTTGGGAACTGAACTCTATCTACAGACGCTTTTTGCCGGCCCTGCACTGACACTTGCACAATTAAACGGATCCTGGTGTATACGGACCCTGGTGCATGCATTTTTCTTTGTTTCCCCTGGGAACGGATACAACACAAGTATACACCACACCACCCCGACGACGTCCCCGACCCTCAAAAAGTCTATCCACCCCCGATCACTCGCCATCGCTCGGACGTCCATTCCCCGTGTTTTTTTCGGTCTCGTGCGTGGCTGTTTCGCCAGATGATCGAGGATGCTCCTCGATTGTCCCCGCCGAGGAAAAAACGCACACGTCCGAGCGATGCCAAGATCAACGCCATCCACACTCGGCCAGATGCCGTCGCGGACCCCGCCAGCAGGCGTCCGAAGGGGGGTCCTCCGCGACGCCCCCGCGAGGTCCACGGAGCTCCCCGGCAGGCCTGCGGAGGCCCTTCACGCGGGCCCCTGGGCCCCCCCCCCCCCGAGCAAGCAGCAGGATCGACAAGACGGCGAGCACGTCGATCCTGGGTCCTAGTCCTCCTCCTCCTGCTCCTCCTCCTCCTCCTCCTTCCCTTCAACTCTCCCTCTCCCCTCCCTTCTCCCTCTCCCCTCCCTCCTCCACCTCCCTTGACCACCTCCACCTCCTCCTCCCTCCTCCCTCGATCGTCCCCCTCAATTCTGCCTCCACCCACCCCTCCCCCATCACTCCCTCCTCACGCGATCTTCCTCCTCCTCCTCCTCCTCCTCCTCCTCTTTCTGGCGAGGACGCTTCTGGGCTCCGCTGGGAGGTGCGGCGGCAGCAGATGAGGCGGCCGCCCAAGCGGCCTTGTGCCAGTCTGCCGGCGGCTGCGGGTCCTGGCGGGGGGGGGGGCCCTCCTGGCCAGCCTCGGGAAGAAGAGCAGAGGGAGGGAAGAGCAGGGAGGAACAAGGAGGAGGTGTTGGGAGGCAACTGCCGGGAGGACTTTGCCCGCAAGACTGAGGAGGATTACGCCCCATTGGGGGGCTGCTACGCCGGAGTAGGCCGCAGAGTCAACGGGATTAAGCCGCATCAAGCGGGGTTAAGCTAGATTCAGCCTGATGTCGGACCAGGGCAAAGTCAGAATTTGACCTCCCAAGAGTTGCATCCGAAGAGGTGGGAGGGAAGATCAGGTCGAATGTAACCTCCCAGTACGAGGAAAGGAAACACCTCCAATTGCGACATCGAGCAACTTCTTGCTGCTGATGCCGTGCACGGCAAACGACCGAGGGACCCGTTGGTCGCTGTGACCTGCCGGTTTGTGGCCGATCGCCTGAAAAACAAAAGCCCATGAGTTTGGGCGC